CAAAAAAAAATCTACAAATATGTGAAAATTAAACAACATGCTCTTCAACAATCCATAGATCAAAGAAGAAATCATAATAGAATTTAGAAAATACCTGAAGGCTAATGAAAACAAAAAACAAAATACCAAAACTATGCTAGTGAGCCAAATCAGTACAAAATGTTTATGGTCGTAAATGTTTACATTTAAAAATCACAAACCAACAATCTAACTTTTCACCTAAAGGAAAAACAAAAAATTTTTAACCCTGAGTTTGAAGAAGAAAGGAGATAAATACTAGAGCAGAGATGAATGAAATAGAGGATAGAAATCAATGATACCAAGAGTAGTTTCTGTAAAGATTAATAAAAGTCAACAAACATTTGGCTATATTAAGTAAGAAAAAGAGAATATTCAATAGCTAAAATTAGAAATGAAAGAGAGGGGCCCCTGAGTGGCTCGGTCGTTAAGTGTCTATCTTCGGCTCAGGTCATGATTCCAGGGTCCTGGGATTGAGGCCTGCGTTGGGCTCCCTGCTCACCGGGATGTCTGCTTCTCCCTCTCCCACTCTCCCTGCTTGTATTCCCTGTCACTCTCTCTGTCAAATAAATAAACAAAATCTTAAAAAAAAAAAGAAATGAAAGAGTTATTACAATGATGTCCACTCCAATCAAAGACAAAGACCATAAAAGACTATTGGATAACCTAGAAGAAATGGATAAATTCCTAGAAACATACAAATCTACCAAGGCCAAACCACAAAAAAAAAAATCTGAAAAGACCTGTAACTAGTAAGGAGATTGAGGCAGTAATCAAAAACCTACCAACAAAGAAAAGCCCAGAACCACATGGCTTCACTGGAGAATTCTATTACTTAAAAAAGAATTCACAGGGCACCTGCGTGGCTCAGTTGGTTGTATGACCGCCTTCAGTTCAGGCCATAATCCTGGAGTCCTGGGATCGAGTCCCACATCGGGCTCCCTGCTTAACAGGGAGTCTGCTTCCCCCTCTGACCCTCTCCCCTCTCATGCTCTCTCTTGCTCTCTCTCTCAAGTAAATAGATAAAATCTTTGAAAAAAAAAAAAAGAAAGAAAAAAAGAAAGAAAAAGAATTAACACTAACACTTCTCAAACTCTTCCAAAGAATCAGAAAGGAGAAAATTCCAAAACCAACTGCATAAGGCCAGCATTATCATGATATCAAAACCAAAAAAGGCACAAGAAAACTACAGACCAATATTCCTGATTAATACAAATAAATGATTATATTATTTTTATATTATACTTTTAATAATTTAATATATAAATATCCTATATTATATATTATGTATAATAATTTAAATTTTATAATCATATTATAATTAATAAATTTATATTTATTTACATAAATATAAATTAATGAATAATTAATAGAAAAGAGGGAAAATGATACAAAAATACTAGCAAAAAGAATTCAAAAGCACATTAAGGGACACCTGGATGGCTCAGTCAGGTGTCAAATGTCAAATGACATTCAGCTCAGGTCTCAGTCTTAATGATCGTGAGTTCAAGCCTAGTGTTGGGACTCCATGCTGGGCGTGGAGCCTACTTTATTTAAAAAAAAAAAAAAAAACCACACATTAAAAGGATCACACAGTAAAACCAAAAAGGATTTATATCTGGAACACAAGCCTGGCTCACTATTTGTAATAATATGAAACAATATAATACACCACATAAGCAAAATGAAGAACAAGAACCACAGGATCATCTCAACAGATGGAGGAAAAGCTTTTGTTAAAAATCAACACTCCTTCATGATTTTAAAAAACTCAATAAACAGAAGAAAACTAACTCAAAATAAGAATCCTTATATAAACAGGCCACAGCAAAGAGCATATTCACTGGGAAAAGACTGGTAGATTTTTCTCTAGTATCAAGAAAAAGGCAAATCTGCCCATCCCACCAGCACTATTCAACATAGTACTGGAAGTTCCAGAGAAATTTAAAAAGAAAAAAATAATAAAGTCATACAAAATGGAAAAAAAAAACTGTCCCTGTCTGCAAATGACATGATCTCATATGTAGGAAACCCTAAAGATTACACACAATACACACACATACACGTACCCACACACACTCACAGTGTTAGAACTAATAAATTCAGCAAAATTGCAGGACACAAAATCAACACTCAAAAATCAGTTATATTTCTATATATTAACAATGTCCAATCCAAAATGAAAATTAAGAAAGCAATCTCATTTACTATAGCATCAAAAATCTAAAAATATTTAGGAATAAACCTAACCAAGGGGGTGAAAGATATATACACAGAAAGCTAGAAAACACTGCTAAAAGAAATCAAAGATACAAATAAATGGAAAGAACATCCCATGCTCATGGATTCAAAGACTTAATATTGTTAAAAAGTTCATACTATCCAAAGTGATCTACAGATTCAATGTAATCCCTATAGAAATGCCAATGGACTATTTTGCAGGAATAGAAAAAAACATACTAAAATACACATGGAATCTCAAGACACCCTGAATACCAAAAACATCTTGAAAAAGAAAAAGTTGGAGGCTTCAAATATCCTGATTTCAAAATATACTACAAAGCAACAGTAATAAAGAAAACACCTTATTGGCATAAAGATATATACATACCTACACCTAAAGCTGATATAGTTTATTATATCACAGTTCAATTACATCTCGATTTTCAAAAATTAAAATAAAAAGTAACCTGAAACAAATGTAACATTGTGTCAATTACACTTCAATAAAAAATAAAAATTTTTAAATATAAAGCAACAATAGAACAAAACTGAGAGATCAGAAATAAACCTTTGCATATGGCAAAATAATTTTTGATAAGAGTACCAAGACAATGGGGAAAGTAGAATCTTCTCAACAAATACCACTGGGGAAACTGGATATCCACATGCAAAAAAATAAAATTGGACCCTTACACCACTTACACTATTACAAAATTAACTCAGAGTAAACCCATGACCTACATATAAGATCTAAACCTATTACACACCAGGAGAGGACAGAATAAAAACTTTGGGACTTTGGATTTGACAATGGTTTCATGGACATGACATCAAAAGCAAAGGTTTAACAAAAGCAAAAATAAGTAAGTGGGACTACCTCAAACTAAAAAGTTACTGCTTAGTCAAGGAAACAATCAACAACATGAAAAGGGCATTCTATGGAAAGAGAGAAAATATTGGCAAAGCATATATTTTGATAAGGGATTAATATCCAAAATATGTAAGGAACTAATACAACTCAATAGTGAAAAAAAATTTTTTTAATGGGCAAAAGACATTTTTTTCCAAGGAAGACATACAAATGACCAACAGGTACATGAAAAGCGGCTCGACATCACAATTGGGACGCCTGGGTGGCTCAGTTGGTTGGACGACTGCCTTCGGCTCAGGTCATGATCCCGGGGTCCCAGGATCAAGTCCCACATCGGGCTCCCAGCTCCATGGGGAGTCTGCTTCTCCCTCTGACCTTCTCCTCGCCATGCTCTCTCTCACTGTCTCTCTCTCAAATAAATAAATAAAATCTTTAAAAAAATAATAATAATAATATGTTTACAATCAAGGGCACCTGGGTGACTCAGTTAGTTCTTGGTTTCAACTTGGGTCATGATTTCAGGGTTTTGAGATCCAGCCCCCAAGTCAGGCTCTGTGCTCAGTGGGTAGTTTGCTTAAGATTCTCTCTCCCTGTCCCTCTGTCCCACCTCCCACTCATGCACTCTCTCAAAATAAATAAATCTTTAAAAAATAATAGTAATGTTTACAATCAGATAAGACACAATAAATACTATTTTGCAAAAATCAAAAAGTAATAAAAGTGTATTACCAAATAATATGTACAGTATTATTTCATTTTTTCTAAATCTTTATAACTTTGGAAAACCAGGAAGGGAAATAAAAATATGTTAACAATAGTTGGTTATTTTGGGGAAATACGATTATGTTAATTTTTGTTTTCTTTATGCATGTCTTCTTTGAAATTTTCATTAATTATGACGTATTATTTTTGTAATATAAATTACCTTGTCTGGATGGAACTGGCTTAGCATAAGCTAAGCAAAATAAGTTAGAGAAAGACAAATACCATATGATTTCACTCATTTGCAGAATTTAAGAAACAAAACAGATGAACACAAGAGAAGGGAAGGAAAAAATAATATAAAAATAGAGGAAGGTAAACTCTAACACACTCGTAACTATAGGAAACAAGCTGAAGGTTGCTGGAGGGGTGGTGAGTGGAGGAATGGGGCAATTGGGTGATGGGCATTAGGGAGGGCACCTGATGTAATGAGCACTGGGTGTTATATGCAACTGATGAATCTCTAAATTCTACCGCTGAAAGTAATAATATGTTAACTAAATTGGATTTAAATAAAAAATGTTTAAAAACACTAAAATATAAATACTATATTTTCATTTGTAAATATGAAAATATTAACGACTCAATCAATTATGTACTTAAAGGAAAATTCACAGACCTAAATGCCTACATTAAGAATAAAAAAATAAATAATACTTGGGGCGCCTGGGTGGCTCAGTGGGTTAAAGCCTCTGCCTTCGGCTCAGGTCATGATCTCAGGGTCCTGGGATCGAGCCCCGCGTCGGGCTCTCTGCTCTGCGGGGAGTCTGTTTCCCTCTCTCTCTGCCTGCCTCTCTGCCTACTTGTGATCTCTCTCTGTCAAATAAATAAATAAAATCTTTTTAAAAAATAAATAAATAAATAAATAAATAAATAAATAAAACTTTCTAATGTCTTTTATAACTCCTTAAGGCATGGTATCTAGACTAATACTGTTAAATAAATTATCACATTCAAGTTCAAACAACCAATGTAGCTTTAAATATTGTATTGCTAAAATTATTATTAATAACAATGATTTTAGTAAATTAATATAAAATTATACAAAATGTTATCAACATTACTAATAATTAAAATCATTAAATATTAAATATCTTATACTTGACATTTTACACAGAATACATACATTACGTTCTTCCTTAGCTGCTGCTTCTAACTGAGCTGCAAATTGTGAACAACATACCAAGAATGAATTCAGATCATCCCCAACCTTTTGAAAAGAATAACAAAACAAAATTATTTTTATTTCAGAATCCATAGGATCCCCACCTATATTATAGTATATCTTAATTATTTGGGAAAATATTTTTTGCCTATATTTATGTCCCTTCAAACATATAACGCAAGAAATCATACTCCAAATGTTCTACTACCAAATTCTCCCAGAAAGTGGAAGATAGTACATTCTGGGGAGTGGCCTCTGAATGACATACATCCAGCTATGCCTCTTATTCTCCCCGGCGCTGCTGCAAAGAATCAAGCATCCCAGATTTAGGCTCCTGAAATTTATGAGTACCCAAAAAAAGGAAGCCACTCTGTATATACCTTAGAAATATCTCTCCATGGTAGAAAATGAATGCTCATTATGACTTGTGAATATAAGTATACTTGCCAAGAGCTGTAGTCTTTTACCCTCATTCAATGGGCAAATGAACACTTTGAGGAAAAAATAGTGACAGATGAAAATATCACAATGACTGAATCTTTTCTAGTAGAGCAGTGATTTATAAATCAGAAACAACCTATGATAGACAAATCTCAGATGTTTATATACAGTTAGGATTCTCATAGAATGTTCTCCATAAGGAGTATATTCATTCAACATCATATTTTAAAACATATTCACAGGCAGATACACTTTTTTTTTGTCATGATAAAGACTTATACCCATATAGGAGAAGAGGAAAAACTGAATTAGTCATTCAGGAGAGTGGGAAAATGAATGAACTAGGTTTCCTAAAAATAAATGTAAAATGAGACTATAAGCATACTTAGGGATTTTCTTCTACTCACATTCAGATGCCACAAATATAGAGAAGATGGTGATTGATTTGATCACGGTTGCAATTTAACAAAATAAAATCAATACAGCACAGCAGGGGAAGAATATGCACGGAAGCAATAATAATAATGGAACATGGAATTTAAGCTAGGTAAGGCCACAAGGAGGATTTGGGACAGTAAAAGGCAGTAAAACCAATGGATTATAGTTCCAAATGGAATCAAAGGATTTTGGAGCCAGAATATTAAACAGACTAAGTGGGAAAGATAAAAGGTAGTGACAAAAGATTAAGATGATTGAAACTTAAATTATGGAAAAGTTATTGGTATTTACAAAGACTAGAGGATATCATCTTCTATCTAGAGGATAGAAGACAAGATCACTGGAGCAAAGAAATTCAACAAACTGAGATGCTGGATTATTTGCAAAGATCATCTACATGGATATCAAAATCATCAAAATTTATGACAACACTGTTATGAGACAAGTATATAATAGTCTTATAATAGTATCACTTATACTATTATAATAGTATGATAATGGTCATTATAATAGACCATTGCATAATATTAGACCATATCATATATATCATATATAATATAATAGACCACATATAATTATTTTCCCAAATAATTATTCTTTGCCTAGTAACAGGACCTTAATTTTACTGAGGATGCCAATGTGCATAGCTAGTAATAATAGTAAGGAGCATCTTTTTAGGGGTGCCTGGGTGGCTTAGTCGTTAAGTGTCTGCCCTCAGCTCAGGTCATGATCCCAGGGTCCTGGAATCAAGCCCCGTGTTGGGCTACCTGCTCAAAGGGGAGCTTCTCCCTCTCCTTCTGCTTCTTCCTCTCTGTCTGCCCCACACCACTCATATTCAATCTCTCTCTCTCAAATAAATAAATAAAATCTATAAATAATAATAAATTTTCCAGCCTCCTTTACCAATAAGGGTAGCCATGTGTCCCAATCAGGCCAATGAGACCAAAAAAAATTCTTGAGCAGGACTTCTAAAAACATCTTTTTTTAAAATATTTTATTTATTTATTTGACAGAGACACACCAAGAGAGGAAACACAAGCAGGGGTGTGGGAGAGGGAGAAGCATGCTTCCTACATAGCAGGGAGCCCAACAAGAGGCCCAGTCCCAAGACCCTAGGGCCATGACCTGAGCCGAAGGCAGACACTTAACGACTAAGCCACCCAGGAACCCCTAAAAAGATCTTCAAAGGGAAGCTGAAATGCCTTTTACGATTATAATGTGAAAAGGTATGAGAGTGTTTACTTTGGTGTTAACATCCAGAAAGAATGGGGCACCTAAGTGGCTCAGTCAGTTAAACCTCTGCCTTCAGCTCGGGTCATGGTCCCGGAGTCCCAGGATTGACCCCCTCTGCTCAGTGCGGGGTCTCTCCTCCCTCTCTCTTTGCTCCTCCCCTTGCTGTGCTCTCTCTTGCCTCTCTCTCTCTCTCATATTAAAAAAAAAAAAAAAAAAAAAAACTTAAAAAAAGAAAAATTAAACATCCAGAAAGGAAAAGTACATAAAATTATATAATTATCATCCCTTTCCTTGAGGATACTGAAAAGTAGAGGATAGGATAAAAATCGGACAAACTGAATTCCACTGAAGAACACTTTATAGATAAGCAAAGAACAAAAGCCATATCCATATCTAAAGGGAGCATGGTGGAGACAGAAGAGCACTTGGTCTAGTGTGTGCAAAGTGTGCCAAGTCAGCCAAGTCAAAAAGCAGGCCTACCACTGACAAAGAGAATTTAGAGGATGAAAAAAAACCAGATGAGACCTTGACAGCCATTTAGGCCAGCAGATACACTGGAATGAGAAACGCTCCCAAGGTAAATCACTCAACCCAACCATTTTTCTTCTGTCAAATGCTTCCGCATCTGAATTTTGCCAAAAATGTGGCAAAAAAAGAGGCCTACATTCCCTAGAAATGGTCAGAATTAAGAAGTCTGACAATACCAATTTTGGGAAGGATGCACAGCCACTGAAACTCTCCCAGAGAGGTGGCAGGAACATAAAATGGTTTTGCCATGTTGGGAAGTAATTTGGCAATTCCTCAGAAAATTAAACATACACTTAAAACTCACTAATCTTATTCCAAAGCAATTATCCAAGATGAATAAACACATATGTCCTCACAAAGATTTGCACACAAATGTTCATTGAAACTTCATTCATACAGAGGGGCACCTACACCCCAACGTTCATAGCAGCAATGTCCATGATAACCAAAATGGGGAAGAAACCAAGATGTCCTTTGACAGATGAATGGGTAAAGAAGATATATATAAAATGGAATATTACTTGGCCATCAGAAAGGATGAATACTTACCATTTACATCAACCTGGATGGAACTGGAAGGTTTTATGCTTGGTGAAATAAGTCAGTTGGAGAAAGACAATTATCATCATATGGTTTCACTTATTTGTGAAATATAAGAAACAGTACAGAGGACCACAAGGGAAGGGAGGGAAAATTGAATGGGAAGAAATCAGGGAAGGAGACAAACGATGAGAGACTCTTTTTTTGTTGTTGTTACATTTTATAATGTATTTTTTTTATAAACATATAATGTATTTTTATCCCCAGGGGTACAGGTCTGTGAATCGCCAGGTTTACACACTTCATAGCACTCACCATAGTACATACCCTCCCCAATGTCCATAACCCCACCCCCCTCTCCCAAACCCCCTCCCCCCAGCAACCCTCAGTTTGTTTTATGAGATTAAGAGTCACTTACCATGACAGACTCTTAACTATGGGAAACAAAGTAAGGACTGCTGAAGGGGAGGTGGGTGGGGGGATGGAGTAACTGGGTGACAGGATTAAGGCGGCCACGTGATGTGATGAGCACTGGGTGTTATACACAACGGATAATCTGTTGAACACTGTATCTGAAACTAATGATGTGCTATGTGTTGGCTAATTGAACTTAAACTGAAAAAAAAAAAAAAAAAGAAACTTCATTTCATGCATAACAGCCAAAATAGCTACTGGATCCAATGACCTAAATGTTTATTAACTGATAAATGGATCGACAATGTAGTATAGCCATGTAATGAAATATTGTTCACAATGAAAGAAACAAACAACTGATACATAGAACAACATGGATGAATCTCAAAAACATGATGATGAGGAAGGGAAGGCTAGATACATAAGGCTACATATTATATGATTTTATTTCCAGGACATTCTAGAAAAAGGCATAAGTACAGTGATAAATCAGTGGTTGTCTGGAACCAGGGAAGGAGAGAATTGACTATAAAAGGAATACAAGGAGGCTTTTGGGGATAATGAAAATGTTTTAAGGTTTGACTGGCCTTTACACAGCTATAAAAAGCAGGAACTAAGAAACAGAGGAATCTCATCCTGCATGTTTTTGTGGTAATTGTATTTTGAAGCTCTGACAGGATTGAACCAAGATGTGAACCAACTATTTAAAATCAGAGTTCAAACTCTTGCCAGCTAAAATACTGGCAGTATCAAAGAAATCAGCCCCTCAGGGGAAGCAGCAATAAGAGAGATTATGGGTTAGACAAATCAGACAAGATCTTAACTTAATTAAAATAGGGACCAGTTCCTGCTCAAATCAATTCTTGTAGAAATGAGAATTATTAGCTGTTCACCCTAAATTCCAGAAAGGAAACAGTAAGCATTCTCTAGAAAATAAACATTGTATTACAGTTTTCAATGTTTTTCTAAATCTAATACTTGAGAATAAAAAAAAATTACAAATAATATGAAGAACCAGGAAAATACAATCCATAATCAAAAGAAAAAAACAGTAGATGTAAACACACTGATAACCCAGATACTGGAAATTACCAGACAAAAACTTTTAAAAATCTGTGACTGATAAAAGAATTTTCAGGAAAAAAAGGTAGACTACATGAAGAGGTGGATAATAGCAGAAGAAATATAAAACCCCCTAAAAAGTAACCAAAAGACAATCCTAAATGTGAAAATTATGATATTTGAAATAAAAATGTCTATGGATTAAACTTAACAGCAGGTCAGACACCACAGAAAGGACTAGTAAAAATAAAGATAGGATAATATATATTGCCCAAACTGAAGCACAGAAAAAGAAATAAATGAAGAGAGTATGAGTGACTTCTTACACAGTATCAAGCTGTCTAATATACGTGTAATTAAACTCTCATAAAAAAGGAGCAGAGAAGCAGTAAAATACCTAAAGAAATAATGAAAATTTCCAAATTTGTTGAAAAACATCAACTCACAGAATCAGCTTGATGGACTGTGAACAGAATATACAGAAAAGCTCAGCTAAGTATATCTTATATCAATGCTGAAACCCAAAGATAAAATCTTTAAAGCAGTCGGAAAAAAATAGGAAAACAATAATATAACAATAATAGTGTAACATAAGTGAGACAAATGTTATTTACTGTTACATAGTTCTTAGATGAGAAATGAAGTATATAATATTAATTCAAGAGAGACTGTGATAAGTATATAATGAATCCCCAGAGCAAGCACAAAAAAAATTGCTAAAAACCAAGAAAATAAAATGAAATGCTAAAAAATACATAATTAACCCAAAATAAAACAGAAAAGAGTTAAGGAGCAAAGAAGATATGAGACAAAAAGAGAGCAAATAGCAGGAAAGTAGACTTAACTCACATTAAGAGTCACGTCTCATAAACATTTCATTATAATAATTACATGGCAATACATTTAATTGTTATCAATTGAACATAAATGAACTAAACCCATTAAAAGATAGACATTGTCAGACTGGATAAAAAACAAGATTCATCTATATGCTATTTCAAAGAGGTACAGTAAATAAAATCATAGTTTGAAAATAAAATTGGAAAGAAGATATAACACACAATGACTAATCATAAGAAAGCTGATACCAGATAAAGGAGACATAAGAATACAGAACTGTATCAAAAATTAAAAAATAATTTTGAACTTCCTGTTCTAGCCATGATGGACTAGGTCCATTCCTCTAATCCTCCCTCCTGCAACTAAAATACCATAGACAACACAACAAACCAACACAGGAAATTTCTGAAACGTAGAAAGAGAAAGGTAGAGTTCTCAAACTTGAAGAATACATGAATTCCTTAGGCTTTCTTTTTACCTGCATATAAAATCTGGAAACTGGAACTTCCAATTAGCACAGACTTAAAAAAAAAAAAAATGCCTTAAGAAAAGCCAAAGAGGGCACCTCGGTGGCTCTTTCACTTAAGCATCTACCTCCAGCTCAAGTCATGATCCCAGAGTTCTGGGACTGAGCCCCACATCAGCCTCCCTATTCAGCAGGGAGTCTGCTTCTCTCTCTCTCCCTCTGCCCTACTCATGCTCTCTCTCTCTCTCAAATAAATAAATAAAATCTTTAAAAAAAAAAGAAAGAAAGAAAGAAAGAAACGAAAGAAAAGCCAAAGGACCATGAAAAGGGTCGTTAGCATAATCCAAAAATTTTTTGAATACCCATCCTATTTGAGCCAAACACCAAGAAAAAAAACTGCAACACTACCCATATGTGTCAGTAGAGCTGAAAAATAATGTGGCAGTGAAAACTGGCCCTCCAATTCCCCCATCAGAGTTGTGCTGGTGAAACCAGGTAGGGAACTAAACTCCCATTCCTATCTGGAAGTAGTAGTCATTATGAGTCAAAGATATCTGCTCTCATCACTGTTATTAAATATAATACTGGAAGCCAAAGCCAGCACAAGAAAAGGAAATAAAAAGCATTCAGACTGGACAGGAAGAAGTAAAACTGACTCTATTTGAGGATGATATAATTACCTATGTAAAAAATTCCAAGAAATCTATAAAAAACTAGAATGAAACAGTACTTTCAACAAGATTGCAAGATACCAAATCAACATATAAAAATCAATCATTTTTCTATATACTAGTAATAAATATGTGGAAACTAAAATTAAAAACAATGCCATTAAAAATCATTTCAAAAAATGGGGCTCCTGGGTGGCTCAGTGGGTTAAGCTTCTGCCTTCGGCTCGGGTCATGATCTCAGGGTCCTGAGATGGAGCCCCGCATCAGGTTCTCTGCTCAACAGGGAGCCTGCTTCCCCCCCCTCTCTCTCTGCCTGCCTCTCTGCCTACTTATGATCTCTGTCTGTCAAATAAATAAATAAAATCTTTTAAAAAAATCATTCCAAAAAACATGAAATACAAATCCATAAATATATCAAACCATGTATAGGATCTATATGATGAAAATTATAAAATGGTGATAAAAGAAATCAAACAAGATCTAAATAAATGGAGAGACATACCATGTTCATGAATTAAAAGATACAACAATCTATGACATGGAGCCAAACTCAACCCCTAACTAAGAAAAGTAATTAAGTATTAAAATACAGTTGAATATTATTCAAGAAATATTACTAAGAAAAGTAATTAAGTATTAAAATAGTTGAATATTATGAAATGTGTAAAAACATTCATCTCCTCAATAGACTATAGGAGATCCACATACTTAATCACCTTAATAGTTACATAACTTCAATATATACCAGAGATTTGTTAAAACTCAATTAACTTCTTAGTTTTTTTACCAAAATAGAAATAGGATACTTTCTTAACACAGAAAGAATATACATCTCAAACCAACAAGCAACCAAATGTTTAAAAATTAAATAGAATAGGCATTAACAATAAAAGTGGGTTTAAAATATAGATGTCTTTTTTTTTTTTAGATTTTATTTATTTATTTTGACAGACAGAGATCACAAGTAGGCAGAGAAGCAGAGAGAGAGGAGGAAGCAGGCTCCCTGCTGAGCAGAGAGCCCGATGCGGGGCTCGATTCCAGGACCCTGGAATCATGACCTGAGCCGAAGGCAGAGGCTTTAACCCACTGAGCCACCCAGGCGCCCCAAAAATATAGATATGTCTTAATTAAACTTTAAGATAAGTGGTGGCAAAGAATAGAAAAATAAGCACTCTACTTTCAAGTTCCCTAACTGAATCATTTTCATGGATGGGGAATTCATTCTGAGAACATAAATGGAATCCAAAAGAAAATCTTAACCCTTCATAAGAAAGCTGATATCAGCTTTAATGACAACAGCTTTGATATCAGCTGTTAATGTCTCTGCATTAGGGTTACATATACTAACCGAAAAAGTTAATTCTTCATTTTCAGGCTTCACGACTAATTTTTCTCTATTTTGAATGTCAAATCCATAGGTTTCTTCCAAAGTAGAAACAATCTGTGAGTGAATCAAAGCAAGTTAAGTATTTTTATAGTTTAAAATTATATTAAATGTAAAAAGACATTTAATCAAACATGTCAGGACCTTCTTAGAAGTAAGACTTATTTCTGCCAGTTCCATTTTTCATCTCACACCCGATCTCATATTACCATAAAGAAATCATGAGAAACAGTCCTCAACTCTACTCCCTAGGAATGGAGAGAGTCCCTACAACTTCTGTTTCTATGGTGACAGGCAAGTAAGAGACTATGAATAGGTGAAGCATCGACTCCACTTATCACCAAAGTATTCCTCAAAATCTGACTGACTCAACTTCCTTCTTTAAAGAGAACTGGGCAAAATAGAAATGGAAACCAGAGAGCAATAACATTTTAAAGGAAATTCTCTGAGCTAATGCCTCAAACTTTGAGGAAATTTATATTTTGGAAATTTGACAAGCTATATTCTTTTTATATTTGTACTCTCCTCATTGTTCTCATTTGGTATTTGGTTAATTCACAATTCAATTCTGGATCATTGTGCAAAGAAGAACTCATAGAAAAGGAAATTTTTTTCCCCAACACTAAGAGCTAAACTTTCTAAAGTGCTGAGAAGAGTTAGCATAGCAGGAATGAGACTCAGAAATGTCTATCATTAGAAAGATCTGCTTGCAAGGCTGGCATTGGACTGGAGTCTCAGCACTTGGATTTTAGCAGTGTTCCCATCATCTCTGATAACAGTGGCTCAATGTCCCTAAACTTTTTTGCACAAACAATATGGTTCATGCTAAACATCTGCTTTCCTTCAGGGAGTCTGGAATTTTTGTACGTGCTAGGCAAAGCACCTACATGAGCAACCCCAATAAAACTCTAAACACTGAGCCTCTAATGAGCTTCTCCAATAGACATTTCACATATGTCGTCATAACGTATTTGCTGTTGGAGGAATTAGGAACATCCTGTGTGACTTTAAAGGAAGAGGAACCTTGGACCTAGTTTCCTCCAGACTTCACACCATAAGCCTTTGCCTTTTGCTAATTTTGCTTTGTATCCTTTCACCATAATAAATCTTAGCCATCAGTAGGGCTATATTTTGAGTTTAGTGCACCTTCCTAACAAATCACTAAGCCTAGCACTAGTCATGGGAACCCCAAACACAGGGACCAACAAGTGTCTTACCATCTTCAGATGTTTGGTAATTTTCCTGATCAATTCATCTTCTGCTATTAACTCCTTTGTTTTATTTGATGGAATAGGCAAAGCATACCTTACAATGGATTCCCCTGTTGGTGGAGATCCTAAGACCATTGGTTCAAGTTTATCACGTACAAATTTTGCACTACGTTTTTCCTTCGGTTTAGGTGACAATGGTAAATTAAATAGTCCTTTTTGGTAAGTGAATTCTGGAACATTTGCCCATTTCTTACTAGAGGCTAACAGATGTTGCGCTGGCTTCATTTCGTTATCTTACTTCACTTCCAAATGATAGATCAATAAATTGTATTCTTTCCTGAGGATAAAACATTAAGATTTCAGATTAAAAATTATGGCAGGATTATCAATTGCCATGAAGATGGTGAGTCCCAAAATCAGCTCTACAGAATTATAAAATGGAGAATAACATTCCTAATAATAACTACCAATAAAAAATTTAAAAATAAGCAAACAAACAAACAAAAAAAACTGTAAGAAATCTTTATAGGTGGTTGAAGGCTGATTTAGGTATGGGCATTTAGGACGGGACTGAAGAGAAAGAGACAGTAGCAGGAATGAGAGAATTTCTTTAGAAAAGTTTAAAATTTTGTTCTTATCTTTCCCCCATTTTTTGAGGTAATAAATGCCCTTTATCATTATTTCTATAGGAATAATAGCCTAGGCCCAGGGTATCCACAGAAAAATATCAAGATAGCACCAAAATCAGGCTGAGAAAAAAGTACAGACTGGACAGGTCTTAGGTTTTCATTCTTCTACTCCTCTCTCCCTCCAAAGCTGATTAAAACTCAGGACAATGCTTTCTCTGTTAAAAAAAAAAAAAAACAAAACAAAAAAAAAAAAAAAACACCTATATGCTTGACCATGGGAGTTGTCTCATAGACTGACAAAATTAATATAGAATAGCATTTGTTCTCTATTGTCTGAAGCTCTCTACACTTAGATGTCTCATTGTTACAGGTTGAACTGTGTCCCTAAAAAATATTTTCAAGTTCTAATCCCTGGCACCTGTGAATATGACCATATTTGAAAATATAGTCTTTGCAGATGTAACCCAGTTAAGACAAGGTCATACTAGATTACAATGAGCCCTACATCCAATGACTGGTGTCATTACAAGAAAGCCACACAAGGGGGCGCCTGGGTGGCTCAGTGGGTTAAGCCGCTGCCTTCGGCTCAGGTCATGATCTCAGAGTCCTAGGATCGAGCCCCGCATTGGGCTCTCTGCTCAGCAGGGAGCCTGCATCCTCCTCTCTCTCTGCCTGCCTCTCTGCCTGCTTGTGATCTCTCTCTGTCAAATAAGTAAATGAAATCTTAAAAAAAAAAAAAAAAACTGTTAAAAAATTAAAAAAATAAAAAAATAAATTAAAAAAAAGCCACACAAGGGCACCTGCATGGTGCAGTTGGTCAAGCATCTGACTTTTGGTTTTGGCTCAGGTCCTGATCTCATGGTCATGAGATCGAGCCCCATGTCAGGTTCTTCACTCAGCACTGAGTCTGCAGGGAACTCTCTCCTGCTCCCTCTGACCCTCTCCCTGAAGTCAGTCTCTCTCTCTCTCTTTCTCTCAAATAAATAAATAAATCTTTTTTTTTAAAAAAGAAATCATGTAAAGACACCATAGATACAGAGGGATAGAGGTCATGTAATGAAAGAGGCAGAGACTAATGTAACTATAAGCTATAATTTTAAAAATTGCAAGCATCTTTGCTAGGAAGAAGCAAGGGAAATTCTTCCCTAGAACCTTCAGAAGGAGGCTAGCACTGCAAACACCTTGATTTCAGACTCCTAGACTCCTCAACGGTGAGAATAAATTACAATTGTTTTAAGCCACTTACTTGGTGGTATTTGGCAGACCTGGGAAACAAATACACATGTATTATTTCCCTAAACTTGATGGGAGGATCATAGACTGGGGCCTGGCTCTTGACAATTTCATAATAGATTACCAGACAAGAGCAGCTGACACTCCCAAGAGCATATAAGCTCACAGGTGAAAATAACTTGACACCTGAAAAATATAGGCTTTGCAAAAGAAAAAAAACAAACTGGAGGGGGCGTGGGGGGAGTCCAGGGGCACCTGAATGGTTTAGTTAGAAGAACATGCAACTCTTGCTCTCAGGGTTGTAAGTTCCAGCCCCACACTGCATGTAGAGATTACTTAAATACATACATACATACATACATACATACATACATACAGACTTATAGAGGAACCAAAGATACACAAACACATACACACAATATATAAAACAGGTATACAGGGTATTTTTTTTAAAGACCTGAGTAGAAATACTACAATTGAAAAATGTAAAAAAACAACAAAACTGATCACAGAATAACAGGGTTGAAGAATAAATTAGGAAAATGGAAGATCCAATTGAGGTGTTCAGCCTGAAAGCTACAGAAAAGGATAAAGAAATAGAAATGAAATTAAAAATAAGAGATATGTAGAATTATATAAATGCTAAAAACCACATAATGGAAGATCCAGTGAGAAAGAAAATGTGAACAGGAAGAAATATTTGAAGAAATAATATAGATAAATTTCTCATTAAAGAATAATGGAAACCACAGATCAAAAAGTGTTCACAAAATACCGAAAAGTAAACAGATAACAAAACACAAACACAGAATGAAATTTAAGAACCTCAAAGAGAAAAATCTGAAGGATTTCAAAAAGAGCATATAACCAAAAAAGGAAGAAGAATTGAATTTTCACCAGCTTTTAGTTAACATCTTTCCTCAAAGAATTCTATATCTTGTCTAAATTGCAAACTCTCTGGATGCAGAGGTTAGCTGAAGAATAAAAATGATGCAAATATTAGCAGCATTTATCACAAATTCTTGAACATGAATAAAGTGAAATGCACATCATCACCAGTAAGTATTAAGAGTTAATATCACCCACTGAATGCACCCCAAAATCCTCAATCTCCAGAGTACCTCAAGCAGTCTATGTAGATAGTGCTTATGAGAATATCCAAGATTAAGCACTGTCTATATAGATAGTTTGCTTGAGGTACTCTGGAGACTAAACTCTAGGAAACAAACTGGGGATTGCTGAAGGGGAGGTGGGCGGGGGGATGGGGTAACTGGGTGATGGGCATTAAGGAGGGCACTCGATGGAATGAGCACTGGGTGTTATATGTAACTGATGCAACTGATGAACCACCAATTCTACTCCTGAAACTATATGTTAAATAATTGAATTTAAATAAAGAATTTTTTTTAAAAAGAGTTAATATCAGATTTTAAAGAATTTAAAAAATTAACAATCCTATGAAAAATGGGAAAATATAGGCCTGCATTTGTTAACATAATAAACACGATTAAATTTTTAGAGTAGTACCTACTCTAGTGTAGAGGGTCATCTAATAAATTTTAAGAGCCTGATAGCATTCTGCTAGCACATTTCTGTAAAATACAAATATTAACACCAAAAACCAGACTATTTAGGAAGTAAAATACAAAACCAAATAATAAATATTACAGGATACATTATTAATAAAATCAGTTTGAATAAGGTTTTTAAAAATTAAAATATTTTGGACATAATCCCTAATGTAAACGATAGAAGGCACATAACAATTACTGATATAATTGTGGATTTCCAACCATATGTGAACATGTATTAGGATTTTAACCAATATATGACACAGCTGCAGAAGAATAGTACACATTTTTAAGAGCTCACCAAAAAAATTAAATTAAAAAATATATATATATGTGTGTATATATAATGGGGATACAATGGCTCAAATACATAGGAGAAAAGCTAAGCAAACAGAAAATCCTCAAAAACGAAAACTCTATGACATTTTGCACAACCTGTCAAGACATTTAATTTCACCATGAATGATAGAACAAAAATATCTCCTGACAACACTGAAAATTTTTATTTCATTCACAAACTATACAACTGATTTATTATTTTAGAAACACTGCAGTTAATTAAAAACACGGTTGCCAAACATAATTCCTGGTCAAATAAGTATCAGGAAATATTATTTGATGCCATGTCACTAAAAATTCATTTTGAAGAATACAATGCTCTTTTGGAAACTGTTGATAATAATAATAAACATATAAATTATAGAACATAAGCCAAAGTCCCCTGTTGGAAAATATTCCCTCTTATATTTTTCCCATATTAATTGTCACATAATGTTTTAAGTAAAGTTAATGTAGTGATACAGAAACCAAAATTCAATTCACGAAACTTTCTGAAAAGCATCAAAAGAATTTCAACGAAATTCTATTGCCAAAGGTATTCCATCTAAAGTGTCAGGTCTGAGAAAGAAAGACCAGCAAACAAAACTTAAGAATGAGTGATCAATGAGCCAGAAGGTAAAACCAAGAGGGGATATACTGAAAATAGGAGAAAAACTTACGTCTTGAGTAATGCTCTGCGTCAAATGCTGGTCAGGTCAGAGGAGAACTAAGAACCAACAGATTTAGCAACATGAAGGTAGGTCATTTGTGAACTGAAGTACGGCAACAATTTCAAGAGTGATGGAGGCCAATGCCTGATTGATCGACCTTCTAGAAGAGAATTGTCAAGGAGGAAGTGGAGGGGCCCCTAGGTAGCTCAGTGGGTTAAGCCTCTGCCTTTGCCTCAGGTCATGATCCCAAGGTCCTGGGATTGAGCCCCGAATCAGGCTCTCTGCTCAGTGGGGAGAATGCTTCCTCCTCTCTCTCTCTGCCTGCCTCTATCTACTGGTGATTTCTGTCAAATAAATAAATAAAATCTTAAAAAAAAAAAAAAAGGAGGAAGTGGAGACAGTGAATATGAATGTAAGCACTTGAGAAATTGTGCTACAAAAGGGAGTAAAATAAGGGCAAGAGGAAGATTTTTTTGATGAGAAAGGTAACGTGTTTGTATGCTGTCATAGGTTGAATTATGTCCTCTCCCCCAAAATACATTCAAGTCCTAACCTCAGAACCTGTGAATGTGACTTTTTTTTCCCCAAATAAGCCTCCAGAAGCTAGAAAAGATACATGAACAAAGTATCCCCCAGAGCCTCCAGTAGGAACCAACACTACCAACACTTTTCAGCCTCCGGCCTCCAGAAGTCAAAGAATAAATTTCTGTTGTTTGCGGTACTTTTTTAGGCAGCCCTAGGAAACTAATACATATGCAGACGGACATGACCCAATAGGAAGCAAAATGTGTTTACTGGTACAGAAGAAAATTGATGGGATGATACCCTGGAGTAAACAAGGGAAAATGGGTTTTGACGCACAAAGGCGCCCTTGCACTTAAGGTAGGCACAGGCTTACATCTATCTGTGGTAACAGGAAGGCAGGGACGCCGGCCACGCCAAGAAACTAATTAAGAAAAAGACGGGACAGTCACCAGGTGCTACAAAACCACCTCATCAGTGGATCCATGAGTTCACATGCGTATACAAATAAAGGTTATATGGAGTAAACGCCTGTATTTAGAAGAAACTGTTCAAGGATTTTACGTAGTCTCTTCATTTAACCCTCCTAACCAGGCTAGGGGGTGTACGTTGTATCACCACATATTTGCCCACGTTTATCAGTCCCCTGCTACCGCAGAGACGAACGTCTTCGGGCCCTCCTTCAAGGACTCACTTCAAACCGTTTAATGATACAGTACACGATGACATGGGGGTGGGGGGTACAGGGTAGGAAAGTTCTGATTTGCCTTAGATTTCTCACCCACAGAGGCAAAACTGCCGCTGATAGAGGAAAGGTAAACGCTTTTGCCGGAAAACCCATCCAAAACTCTCACAATCCGACGGGGGAAGGACCGCGCGCGCCTCCGCTCTCCGCAGTCCGCGTACCTGCTCAGGCTGTGGGAGCCAAGTTACTGGGTGGTTTTGCCTGGGCGAAGAGGGCTCTAAGGTGAAAGAGTTGGAAATTCTGAGCCTCCCAGACTTCCTACAAGGCGGAAGGCTGCAAACCCAGCAGACTCCAGCCCCGCTGTTTTACAAACTAACATTTGGGCGGAGAGGCCGGGCGTCCGCGCCCTGGGGCTGCAGCAACGACCGGGGTCGGACGCAAAGCCGCGCTGTGGGCGGTTGACGCAGCGTCTCCCACGCCCCCCCGCCGCGCGCCCCCGCCGCGCGCCCCCTACGCCGCCGCGCGCGCCCCCGCCAGCGCCCCCGAGACCCAGTAGCCGACGTTTGAGGTGAGTCTTTCCTGGAATTGAAAGCGAGAGGAATTTCAACAAATGTGGAAGGCTGAAAAGTAGCCAGGTCCATCCAGACCGCGCCCTCTTTCTTGCTCCCCAGGTCTGTGTAATTCCCTCCAGGACGCTGCACAAGTGAGATTCTTTTAGACATCTGGCCTAAAGAAGTAAAACACGTGCCTCTTCGGTGCTTTGAGACCTTGGGCTTCAACTGCAAAACCTGAGCCCCAGCCGCTCATCTGCCGCTGTCGAAAAGTTATTTTCAGCCTAGTGTTTTGGAGAGTCCTTTACCAGACTCGAAGTTCCCACGGAATTCTGCAGCGGCTTCGCGGTTTTAAAATTAAAACGCACTAAGAAGTTTGAATCATGCCTCATAAGCTAGTCTCTTGCCATCAGTTTCCCTGCACTGCTTTCATATGCAATTCTACAAGGTAGAGTTTTTTGATAGTTTGACTTAAAATAATTAATTTCTTCTTTTAAAAAAATGAAGGCTATTGATTTAAAAATTTCCAAATAAAGTTTTATTGCCCGAAGTAAAGTGTTTTAATATTTTAAAATACCAACTTGATATAATTTAATTTTTTAATAATGGCTGTTTGGTTTGCTATATGAATATTCAAATAACGAGTCCAGAACAAAAGCTGAAACGAGAACTGCAAAAATGGAAGATGGCTCAAGATTGAGGCATAGAAGGATCCTGAACTCACCTCTTCCCCCAAACACATCTAGAGCTACATCTGGAAAATTTCCCTCTGCAAAGGCCTTTCTTTGAAAGCTAGCTAAACAGGAGAGAAAAGGGCCACACTGAGACAGGTAGAAGAGGAAGAGACCAGGTCTTGAAAGAAACCCCACCCCAGGCCCAAAAGACCCACAATTAGGAGAGATCTCGTAATACATCGCTTGTCCGGGAGGAGAGAGGGGGGATTTGTGCCCCACACCAGGCACCCCAACTCTTGAGACCTGTAGTAGAGACACACATGCCTAAAATGTCTGGCCATGAAAACCAAAGTTTACTTCCAGGAGAACCATTATAAATATAGAACAGGAAATCCACTCTTAAAGGGCTTGTGCACAGATTTACTTGTCACCCCCTCAGTACCCAGAGCAAAAGCAGCAGTTCAAAAGGCACCTACATCATAAGCAGAGGAGATTAATTTGCTAATCTTAAAAATATTTCAATTTATATTCAATTGATATTGTGGTCATTGCAAGGATCTGGGACAATTTAAATTTTGACAAGAAGTGCAATTTCCCCTTGACTCCAGCATTTTCTTATTTTCAGAGTTATATAGAAGACATTTATTCATATACATGGGTCCAATAAACTTATATGTAATGTAAACTTTCTATATATTGAGATATACTTGTTTAAAAGACAAAACATTTGTGTTTCTGCACACAATAATAAATGCTTATTAAGTAAATGTTAACTTTTCTTCAAAAGTTCAAAAATATAAGAGATCCATGGAAAATTGTCTCCTAATAGATGAAAAAAGAGCTACCATGCCAACACTAGTCAAAAAAAAGCTTTAGGTTTTATATTAATTTTACGTTAATTACAGAAAATCTAGATTTTTGAGTAAAGGCTATTACCAGGGATAAAATAGGTTATTTCATAAGGATAAATAAGCCATTGATTAAGAAGACATAACAATCCTAAACATCTACAGACCTGACAAGAGAGGAACAAAATACATAAAACAAAAAACTGATAGGACTCCAAGGAGAAATAGACAAATGCACAATTAAAGTCAGAGATTTCATCATGCTGAGTAAGGAAAGGGCGAAGGGATAGTCAGGGAGAAGCGGGGAGATCCCTGACTATGCTCAGAAACTATTCCTGGCAGGCAAAAACGCTAAGACAGAATGGACAAGAGATAAGGGAATAGACCAGGCCATCTGGTCCCAGATGTTAGGGAGTGTTTTTCTTTGGCAGCTACATTGTAATCACAGAAAAACGACCAAACCTCATAGAAATAAATCATTAAGGATGTTACCAATAGTCCTTGCTCAAACCAGATGGCACAAGAATCTCAAGGTCAGGGGCACCTGGGTGGCTCAGTGGGTTAAGCCGCTGCCTTAGGCTCAGGTCATGATCTCAGGGTCCTAGGATCGAGTCCCGCATCGGGCGCTCTGCTCAGCAGGGAGCCTGCTTCCCTCTCTCTCTCTATCTCTCTCTGCCTGCCTCTCTGCCTACTTGTGATCTGTCCCTGTCAAATAAATAAATAAAATCTTTAAAAAAAAAAAAAAAGAATCTCAAGGTCACAAGCATACTGGTCAAGTTTTCAATAAACGATCAGTCCTAAAAACCTTCAGTGGCAACCCATTCAGGATCCCTCTCACGCTAGAGAGCTTTCTCTTTCCTTGGCCGTCACGTAAACGTTCACTTCACCCTTTTGTGTCTATGAGATTCCTTCTTTGACTCTGCAAAATCCAACATCCATTCCAGACTTTTTTTGACCTGAAACTTGAAATAGAAACTTTCTTAACCTGATAAAATGCATCAATGAAAAGCCTACAGCTAACATCATACTGCTTCCCCCCTGTGATAAGGAACAAGATAAGTCTGTCTGCTCTCATTACTTCTTTTCAATAATGTACTTACTGGAAGTCCTAACCAGTGCAAAAGTCAAGGAAAAGAAACAGAAACAATTCAAACTGGAAAGGAAGAAAAATAAAATTTTTAATAAAGAAACAAAATGATCTATGTAGAAAATCTGATGAAATCTTCAAAAATTAATAAGTTTAACATGGTTACAGGATATCAGATCAAAATACAAAAATATCAACTGTATGCTCTAGATGAACAATGAGGAAGTAAAATACCATAAATATCACTTACCATGGCATCAAAAATATATTTATGCATAATGCTGAAAAAATGTGCAAAAACCTCTACACTGATAACTCCAAAAAATTGCTGAGAGAAAATAAATGTCGAAGTAAATGTAGCTATACCGTGCTCATTAACTGAAGATTTAATAATGTTAAGATGTCACCTCTCCCCTACTTAATATATAAGTTCAGAACAATCCGAATGAAAATACCAGTAGGGCTCTTTGAAGAAATTGGCAACCTGATGGAAATGAAAAGAGCCTGCAATAACCAAAACAACTTTGAAAAAGGATAAAGTTGGAGGACCTCAAACAAAATGCATAGTCCCAGAGGAGTTCCTGGTACCCCTGGGAATAAGATCTTGTTTACAACTGTTGAGCAACGCCCTCCCTCCCCCAAGTGGCATCTACAGCTTTCATAGTACACAGTTGACAGTGGCTCTAACATGGCCCCCCAGCTGCTGATATGCCTTAGGGTTCTTTCTTCTGTTCAGATCTTTGGAAACCCTTGTTTTTTGGAAGGACTGCATAATGACAGTCCAATCTGTTCTGTTTGTTTATAATAACAGTTGGGTGGATTTTTCCATCCCATGAAACACCTGAATTACAGTTATGGGAATGTGTGTGAGAAAAACAACAAAAATTTTCATAAAGTTTTGCACAGGAGGCGAGGAAGCTGGGGCCATTTGCTGTTATTTCTAATACCGAGAAGTAAGATTAAGAGAATAGCAACCGAATTGTAGCCAAAGCCATCTGGCAGATGCCAATTCAGAAGTCAGTTAAATTCAGGGCACCTGGGGTGCCTGGGTGGTTCAGTGGGTTAAGCCTCTGCCTTCAGCTCAGGTCATGATCTCAGGGGCCTGGGGTCGAGCCCCGCATCGGGCTCTCTGCTGAGCCGGGAGCCTGCTTCCCCCTCTCTCTCTCTGTCTGCCTCTCTGCCTACTTGTGATCTCTCTCTCTGTCTGTCAAATAAATAAATAAAATCTTAAAAAAAAAAAAAATTCAGGGCACCTGCATGGTTGAGTCAGTTAAGCCACCTCTTTCAGCTCAGGTCATGATCCCAGGGTTCTGGGAGCTCAATGGGGAGCCTGTTTCTCCTTCTGCTTGTCCTCCCATTCTCTCTCTCTCTCTCTCTGACAAATAAATAAAATCTTAGAAAAAAAGATTCAGTTAAATTCAAGGAATTTGCAATAGTTTGGGAGAGGTGGGTAAGATATTGTCCTTGTGTGGAAGGGTCCAGGAGCTGTGCTAAAAGAAAAAGAATATTAATTCTCTTACCCTCCCCAGTAACTCCAACTGTTTAAGGTATTCCATCCCTAGGTGCTTAGGTTTTCTTCCTATTCTTCTATTGTCACAAAATTAATGTGTCTCATCCCTGTAATTATAACTTCTAATTGTCTCACGCAATTTTTTCATCTAGAAAAATCAGTCAGAAACAAGAGATCCACAAGGGTTTTGTATAAAGACCCATTATGTCCCCTTCTTCCTACCCATGTAGGCCAGTATGTGGGAGAGTACAGACCCAAAGCAGGGCAGTAAGACCTGGAATACTATACGGTGAATCCTCCATGATTTCCCATGGGATTTTCTCTATTTCAAGGAACTTTCAGTAAGAGGACCAGAGTGCCCTCATGGTCAGAAAAAGACCTCTTGAATAACTCAGAGACTTTGTACTATAATCTTTGAAATCATCTGAGATTGACTTGATAGAATTCAGGAGCAGTTGAGCCATAAGAGGACCCAACTATGGTCATTCCTCTTCAACAAACATTATGTGTCCCTCCACCTCAGCTCCCAAGCTAACAAGCCAAAGTTCTAAAGATTTGCATGATTTCTCCCCATTGGGGTCACAAATTTCCCTCCTTTTGCCTTTGGTGTATATGTGTGTTTCTGTAAGTGTTGTCTATAAAGAATGAGAACCTTCCTCTAACCCGGGATGGAGCTTAGGACCAATTGTTTCAACAAGGTTGGTATGATGCTAACCATCAAATTGTCCCTCCAGCCCCCATCCCAATGAGCAAGAACAACAACT